GGTTGTGCAGAATGCCTGGGTTCTCGGAGTGCGTCCGCTGTCCGCAGACTCCCCCCCACCCACCGCCAGATGTTCACGAAAGCCTCTCCCGAAAGCCTCTCCAGGAACGTCTGGGTTACGACGAGGGCGAGGTGCGCAAGGATGAGCAGCACTACCCTGAGGCTACACCGAGGACTTCGTGAAAAATGAGCCGTTTCCTGGCGGTCTCTGGGAAGCCTCAGAGGGGCATGGAAAGAGCGTCGCGAGTGTCCGTGGGGCGGATCGTCCCGAGACACCCAAGGCCTTCCGTGCTCCCCACAGGGGCACCCCCGGCCAAGAACGAGACGGCCTCAAAAAGCTCCAAGAGGCTTCCCACGAAGGCTTCGAGGGGCAAACGTTCTCTATTCTCTGGAACTTCTTCCACGTGTGGCGGGCTCTCCCCATTTCATGATTCGAGCGCTCCCAGACGGCCAAGAGGCTCCGAAGACCCCCAAGTCGGCCCAAGACAAGAAGGCCGAAAGAGGGCCCGAGGCCCGAAGACGGCTTTGGAGAGGCTCAAGACGGTGCAGAGAGTGGCCCAAAGACGGGGCCAGGAGGGGGACCACACACACAAACACACACACACACACACACACACACACACACACACACACACACACACACACACACACACACACACACACACACACACACACACACAAACACAAACACAGACACACACACACACACGGACGCACGCACGCACGCACGCACGCCCGCACGCACGCCCCCTCCCCCTCCCTGCTCCCTCCCCCCCACACACGCACACACACACACGCACACACAAACACACACACAAACACACACACGCACAAGCACTCACACACAAACACACACACACACACGCAAGCACACACACAAACACACACAACCACACACAAGCACACACACACAAACACACGCAAACACACACACAAACACACAAACACACACAAGCACACACAAACACACACACACAAGCACACGCAAACACACACTAACACACACGCATAAACACACACAAACACACACAAACACACTCAACCACACACAAACACACACAAACACAACCACACACACACAACACACACAAACACACACACAAACACACACACACGCACACACGCACACACACACACACGACATACAGCACACAACACACAACACACAGCACACACAACACACAACACACACACACACACACACACCACACACCACACACACACAGCACACACACGCACACGCACACGCACACGCACACGCACCCGCACCCGCACACGCACACGCACACGCACACGCACACGCACACACCCACACCCTCATACACAAACACACACACACAACACACACACGCGCGCGCACGCGCACACACACACAGACACGCTTCAGAGCGATTAGCTCCGTGCGGCCGCCGAGGAAGACGATTGCGAGGACGCCGACGACGAGGTTGAAGGACGTGTGCGACGCCCACGCCTCCGACCTCCGACGGCGAAGCCGACGCTCCGACGCTGGGAGAGGCATCGAAATGGCGTCGCAGTCCGCCCACAGGTGACGCGCAGCATGGGAGCGCGCGGCCGGCGCAGAGGCTCCCCCCTTTTGCACTGGAGAGGAGGCGTGGCGCGACCGGGGGGTCGGGACGGGCAGGGGAAGAAGAAGGGGCGAGGGTACAGTCGGGGCCTTGACCTAAGGAACCCAAAATAAGGAACGAGGCCCCTTTTTCCCATGAGTTAAACCTCGATTTCCGATCGAAGACATAAGGAAAACCTGAGGCAAGCTGCGAAACACTGAAGGAACGCGGAGCCCCTCCCCAACGAAAAGGGTTCCTTCTTCAGGGCCCCGACTGTATTCCTAGAAGAAGAAAGAACGCCATAAGCATAAACTTTCGGCGCTCCGCGCAGATTTCTTGGACCCGCGCTGGGCCCCCCCCCCCCCAGCGGCGCCCCTGGCGCGCTCCTCTCGCCAGGACTGGGGGTCCAGCGCGGATCCAAGAAATCTGCGCGGAGCGCCCACATTTTGTGTTTATGCCGTTTTTTCTTCTTCGAATTCCCTCCGACGAGTGCGGGTTCGCCCTGAACACAAAGCACCCGCAGCGTTCACTGTGAGGTGGAGGTCGACGAAGATTGTAACCAAATCGCTGCCGCTGAAGGGAAACGGAAACTGTGGGCGTGACAGAATTGGACAAAACGTGAATGATGGTTCTGACGTCCGCCAGAGAACTGCATCTGGACTGCGAGGCTTCGTCGGTGTGACCCAAAGGTAAGGATACCCTGAGCGATTGGCGGGGTCGGACCTTGCTTGGATCTACCATGTTCCTGGAGACCTTTCCTGGAACATACCTGTGTGGAACGCCTCGTGAGCAACATGCGGTAATGAGGCAAAAGCCTTGGAAGGCCACGGCGACAGGGCAGGAGAGCCTAAAAACCCTGGGCGCAAGGCAAAACTCAAGGATGCCCGGGCACGCTTGCAAAGTTCCGCAGCCATACTATGGGGGATGATGGTAGACAGGAGCAGCACCCCTCTGGAGAAGGAAGCGGCGGGCGAGGCTGGAGAAGCAGAGAACGGAGAAAGGTGAAGACGCCTGGGGAGCTCCCTGGAAGTCTTTGGGGGCGTCTGTTCGGGGCCCGTCGGGGCTTCCTGGAGACTTCTGGGGGGGGGGGCTCGTTGGAGCTTCGGCTCGCGTTCCCCCTCTTGGGGCGCTCTCGAGGCCATCGTGGCGCCCTGTTGGGACCGTCTTGGAAGCCTCTGGGCCCGCCTGGGAAGCTCTCATCGGCCATCTTGGGGCGCTCTCGGGAGCCTCTTTGGGCCGTCTTTAGGCGGTCTTAGTTCTGGGACTGTCTGGAAGCGCAGGGGCCCAGGAAAAACACAATCGCTACATTGTACCTAAACCAGCGGGACATCAATGAGTTTGGCCTCTCGGGGCTCTTGTGAGGACTCTTCGAGGCCTCTTGGGGCCTCCTGGCCGCTTCCTGGGCCGGCTCTGGGGGCCATCTTGGAGGTCTTGGAACGCTCGTTGGACGACTCGGAACACCCTGGGACCGCCTTGGGAGCCACTTGGAGCTCTGGAGTCCCCTCATGGCGCACTCCCGGGGCCCCGGACCATATATATATATATATATATATATATGTATATATATATATATATATATATATGGTGGGGGCATCGAAAAAGGAAGCCTTCGATAAGGAACCCAGGGTCTGGACGCCAGTGGAAAGCCAATCGTGGATTGGCCATGGACATCACCGCCGCCCCCATCGGATAAGGAATCCTCCAGGGTCTGAAGCCTCCTGCGGACATTCTTCAATCAACGCCCCCACCGTGTGTGTATATATATACACATATACTGCATTGGCGAAGTGGCAGGAAGGTTAAACAGACAATTTAACGATAACTCCTTGTGGGTTACCTTTTCCGACATCGCCGTTGTAATCATCTTATCTGGTGTCCTTCCTCAATGTTTGTTTTTCCTCATTCTCGCCCTACCCTGCGAATTCTCCCCCATCCTCTTGGCGTCTTCATGCTTTCTGAAAGCCTTCTAGAGGCCTCCTGGGCGTCTTCTGGGCCTCTGGGGGGCGTCCTCGGGCCACCCTGCCTCCAACCGCGGTCTCCCTGAACGACTGGGTCACGATTTGGAATGCTTCGGAGGGCGTCTTGGGGCCATCTTGGGCCGTCATAAGGCTTTCTTAGGCTATCTTGGAACTGGTTTTGTTTCGATGTTCGAGCCTCGGAGGCGGTCTCGGTCGCCCAGAAGACCGAAGAACAGGGCATTCCCAAAATCATGCAAAGACAACTTGGGAAATCCATGTTTTCTGCGTTTTGGAAGCCTCTCGGGAGTCTTCTTTGGGTCGTCTCCGGGCGTCTGGTGGGTGTCTGGGGCCTCATTGGGCCCTCGGGGGGGCGTTCGGCCGTCCTCCTGACCGACTTGGACTCGTTGCCTAAGCCCAGCAACGGCTTCCAGGATCGTTGAAACGCCTGGGGGGCCTCCTGCAGGGGCGTCCAGGGGGTCCCAGGGGCCACGGATCAGGGGGGGCCAGAGGGTCCCAGGGGCCCGCGATTCGGCGGATCCGATTTCGGGGGAGGGGGGCGGGTAAAAAGGCATTGTTAAAACATACGACTATAGATATATACATACATACCTACGGCTGAAGCAAAACACATCAACTCCGTCATACGTGGCAGCTTGCCTCCATAGTATCCAAGTTGGTTTTGCGTGTGCTACGCCTCAGCGGGTCTCCCATTCTGATTCTCCTGGGGGGGGGTCGCGCAAGATTTGTGTCTGCGCCGCTGGGGCCGCTCGCCAGTCGCAGCGTCGCTGGAACGGGCATCGCGCGCCTCCCTTCCTCCGCCACTGCCTCCTGGTGCTCTTCCTTGCATCTTCTTGGACGGGGCGGTGGGGCGGCAGGGCAGGCGGGTCGCGGGCGGGTCGCTGGGCGGCACATCCCATCACTCATTATCATCATCACCAAGTGGAGGGGGAGGAGGAGGAGGAGGAGGAGGGGGAGGGGGGAGAGGGGGAGGTCCTGGTTCTCCTCCTTCGCCTCCTCCTCACCTCCTCCTCCTTCTCTCCTCCTCTCCTCCTCCTCCTCCTCCTCCTCCTCCTCCCTCCTCCTCCTCCTCCTCCTCCTCCTCCTCCTCCTCCTCCTCCCCCCTCTCAGACAGAGAGAGTCTCCGCAGGCCTCCTCCTCCTCCTCCTTCTCCTTTTCCTCCGGCTCGAAACTGCCGCCCAATGAAGGACCTCGTGAATCGCCGGTGCACTACAGCTTCAGCCAGAGCTCCACTCGGGCTCGGCTCACGAGGACGAGGTGCAGCACGAGCCCCCACGTCCTGGAGGCCCCCCGCTGGGGACAGGCCTGCCCAGCAGAACAGAGCACGAGCGCAGCGGACGGCTACGCACACGTGGCCCAGGACAAGAAAAAAGCGGAGGGGAGGTGGAGATGGGATGCGACGGGATATGACGGACGTCGGACGGGATAGTGAGAGGAACCCAGGGAAGGGCCAGCCTCGCTCACCAGGTGTTGGCCGGCGCGGCCGGCTCCGCGTAGCTCTGCCTCGCCTTCTTGGCCGCGGGCTGCATGTTGCCGCCCTCGCGGTCCGCCCAGCGGACCGCGAGGTCGTCGCAGCTGATCCCAGTCATGGGTTCCCCGATGTTCTCGGAGACCTCGGCAAGCACCTTGGGGTCGTTGAAGTGTGTCACCGCCTTGACTATGGCGCGGGCGCGCTTCTCGGGCTCGGAGGACTTGAAGATGCCGCTGCCCACGAAGACCCCATCCACGCCCAGCTGCATGCACAGCGCGGCGTCCGCCGGGGTGGCCACCCCCCCCGCGGCGAAGTTGACGACGGGCAGGCGGCCGTCCCTCTTCACCTGCTTCAGCAGCTCCACGGGAGCGCCGATCTCCTTGCCGTACGTGAAGAGCTCGTCCTCGTCCATCATCTGCACCTTCCGGATCTCCCTGTGGAGGGTGCGGACGTGCAGCACGGCCTGGTTCACGTCGCCGGTGCCCGCCTCGCCCTTCGTGCGGATCATGCTGCAACCCTCGGCGACGCGCCGCAGCGCCTCGCCCAGGTTCCTGGGGAAGCCAAACTACACTTAGGTCGGGAGTGTTCTCCTACGGGCGGATTTTTGACGACACATTAAATGGCACCAGAGAAAACCCCCAATCGTAATCTTTGTAAGACTGTAGGGCTATAGGGCTATATGGCTATAAGGCTATTGGGCTATGGGAGGGCTATGAGGCTGTAGGGCTATAGGGCTAGACGGCTATAGGGCTAGACGGCTGTAGGGCTATAGGGCTATAGGCCTATGGGGCTATAGGGCTATAGCGATATTAGGGCTATAGGGCATAGGGCTATAGGGCTATAGAGCTATAGGGCTATAGGGCTATAAAACTATGAGGCTATAGGGGACCCGGGCACCCGCAGAAATCGGCGGCGAACCTCACCCGGGCACCCGGGCACCCGGCACCCGGGCGTGCCGCCGAAATCGGAGGCGCATCTAACCTAACCATATGAATCCGCTAGGACCCCTACAGAGGCAAGCTCTGATTGGGGAAAACATTCAAAACATATTCCAACATAGTCAAAAAATGATCGAAACATCGTACCCACACGATTCCTTTACTATTCTTGAATTTTCCTCCTGTAGAGGTACAGGGCCGACTCAAGACTACACCAGGGAAGACCCCGAATGGGTGGATTTCCTGGCATGGTCGCATGCACTCCCCGCCTGCTCTCGCCCTCCCTCTCCCTCTCTCTCTCTCTCTCTTTCTGTCGCTCTGTTGTTTAACTTCCATGTACATCTACTAGTCTCTGGATGCATGTCATGCCCTCTCAACTCGCTCTGCGTGAGCGTGTGTGTGCGTGTGTTGTGTGTTGTGTGTGTTGTGTGTGTTGTGTGTGTGTGTTGTGTGTGTTGTGTGTGTTGTGTGTGTGTGTTGTGTGTGTTGTGTGTGTGTTGTGTGTGTTGTGTGTGTTGTGTGCTGTGTGTTGTGTGTGTGTTGTGTGTGTGCGTGTGTGTGTGTGTGCGTGTGTGTGTGTGTGTGTACGTGTCTCTCTCTCTCTCTCTCTTTTTTTTTTTTTCTCTCTCTCTCTCTCTCTCTCTCTCTCTTTGTATATACATACAAGATATCGTCAGCTCGCTTCGCTTCGACACAACATCTTGTCCCTCGTCCTCATCCCTCACCCTCGTGTTGGGGTGTGTGCTGGTGGTCGTGCTAGTGGTCGCGCTGGCGGTTTTGCCGTCGATCGGACGAAGAGAGAGAGAAACTGCAGGAGGGGCATGGAGGAGAAGGAGCAGAAAGTGCCCGACCTCACACAAAGACCCCGAGCGCTGGAGGAACGGTAGAACGTCGGTGCTTCGACCCGGTGCAGTCGTGCTGGTGGTCGTGCTGCTGGTGTTGCAAGTGTAGGAGAACAAGAAGTGGCATAAACATAAACACTCGGAGGTCCGCGCAAACTTCTCGGATCGGCGCTGGGGCCCCCGGCGGCGCCTCCCGCGCCGCCCCTGGCGCGCTCCGCGCGCCAGGGGAGGGGGCCCAGCGCCGATCCGAGAAATCCGCGCGGACCTCCGAGTTTTTATGTTTATGCCATTTTTCGTTCCCCTATAGTGGTGGTGCTGAGAAGGTGGTGCTGGACGGGCTGGTGGTCGTGCTGGTGGTCGTGTCAGTGGTCTTGCTGGTTTTCGTGTTGGCGGTCGTGTTGGTGGTCGTGCTGGTGGTTGTGCTGGTGGTCGTGCTTGAGGTTGTGCCCGTGGTCGCGCTGTCGGTCGTGCTGGCGGTCGTGCTGGTGGTCGGGCTGGTGGTCGTGCTGGCAGTCGTGCTTGAGGTCGTGTGAATGGTCGCGCCGGTAGGGCGTCCAGCCGACCCAAGGGGCCGAACCGATCTTTGCTTCGCGTCGACGGCCGTTTTTTTGCGTCAGGTGCTGGGGTGGGTGACTTGTCGGCCTGCGCCTCGGGGCTGACGCGGGCGGGGATTTTCGTGAACGGTCGACGCGTCCAGGGGCGCGGGGCCACCCAAAGGGCCGCGCGAATATTTGGTTGCGGTTGACGGTTCTTTTGGTCCGGGGGCCGGGATGGGGGGGCGCTGGGCGTGCCCTGGGCGGCTTGCGCCGCGGTGCCCCCACGTCCGCGTGGTTATTCACAGGGAGTGAGCATGTCTGGAAGCGAAAAGCCACCCAGTGGGCCGAACTAATTTACAGCTAACGTCGACGGCTGTTTTGTGGCTCTGGAGCTCGGGATGGGGGACTTACGGCGCCTTCTGGGGAACCTGCGTTGTGGGGCCGTCGTGGGTGTGGGCTTTCGCAAGGAATGGGAGTGTCTAGGGGCGCAGAGCAAGATCACCCACTGACTCAATGTTGTTACACGTCGACGGTTTCGTTTGTCAGCTCGGGGCCAGCCGGCCGGCACGCGGGAATCTGTTTTTGCAGATGCGGGCGTCGCGCGCTCCCCCGCGCGTCTAAAGTCTACGCGCGCTGGCTGCTCAGGCGGGCGCGGCGCGCACTTCGCGGCAGCCGCGGCCGCGGAGAATGTCCTCCAGCAGACGAGCTTGCTGTACTCGCATGTCTCCGCCTGCTCTTTGTTGCCTAATGGCCCAAAGTGGACGGGATTGTCCTGGTCTTCCTGCCAGCGGAGGCCTCGGCCAACCGGAGGCCAGCCTTGGCCCTGGGCCCCAGGGCGGGTCAAGTCAGCGGCCGCCTGCCTGGCCGAGAAAATCTGTCGGGCGCGGCCTGGGCAATGTCTCCGCGTCTGCTTGGCGATCTCGTCCTCCAGCGCCGCCCAGTTGGGAAACGGACGGCGCGCGGCGCACGCAGCAGACGCGGCCGACAAGCCGACGGCAAGCTGCTCATTGGACACACAAGTACGGCGGTAAGTCTGGAATCCGCGCTTCGCGTGGGTCAAAGCAGCCCCGATGTCAGACAGGCTGGTGTCTCCGAGGTGCGCTGTGAAGCCTCGTGGCCTCTGCCGGAGCTGGACCCCGATGCACGCGGCGGCCAGCTTGCCCGGGTCCCTGATCCGCCGCGCGGCCCGCAGGATTTCCACACTCACCCTGTCTTTGAAACTATGGGGCTTGCCGAAGCGGGTGCTATTCACGGCTTGAACATGCGATACCAGATGGTCCCCATGCTTAGTTGAATTACGCTGGGATTGCCCATCTAAGAGAAATTTAATTATTCTGTGCGCCTGCTTTTGCCACATCGTGTCTTTATTGATATTGCCAATGCATTCCTTATGTTCCTTACATGTTCGGTGGCAGTTTGCTCCCGAAACGTCGCTTGTTGCACCGCGACAGACAAGCGCTCTAGAGCCTACTGTATGGCGGCAGCGGTTTGGGCCGTCTCTTTTTGAAAGGCTACTTCCACCTTATGTTCGGAATTCTTTGCTACCTTTTCGAAAGACAACAGATGATATTGCACCGCTGTTTGTTTCAACTACTTTCCTTTCAGTTTTTTCCTCTTTCAATATCACCAATCTCGCCGCGTCCACTCCTTCCTCGCTGCGCTCAAATCCTCAGCAGCGACAGCGGAGCCACCTCTGAGGTCGCTCGTTGGCTCAGACGCGCCTGCCATGCGAGCAATGACAGATTCTCTTTTTCTTGTTGCATCTGCCTCAATTAATTAGTTCTTTTGTCGCTCGAGCTCTTGCATCTGAACAATCATATGATCGCTGGGCTGTTTTTCCGCAGCAGCAATGTTATCGGTCTTTTTTGGGGCCAAGCAGAAATTGTGAGATGCTGACAATTTCGTTCGGTCATGCTTACACTGTCAGGGCAAAGCCAAGTCACGCCACAGTATTCGCAAATGCTGGAACACCCCCCCCCCCCACCCACACACACACACACTGGGCGGCGGCATGGACAATTAATCTTTCCTGTTTTCCCGGGTATCGATTTTCTGCCGTTGGCGGACATGGCGAGCCCCGGGCCAGAAACGTAATTATTTTGATCGATATACGACTTGATGACGAATTGCGAGACGGACGATTGAAATCACGGCTGATCCTCGACCTCTCGCGGGGTCCTGTCATCAAAGGGGACCTGAACTTGGGGCGACCAATGAACGTAGTAGGCGACGAGGTTTCATCCATCGCTCCCTCTACTTCTTGGCTTACGGGACAATGATTGGCTTCTGCTGGGCTCGCAGGTGAACTGGAAACCTGCATCGCCGAATCATGTCCCGTGCTGATGTCGCCCCACGGGTCGCTTTGGCATCGGCACTTCTCCGGTACTATCTCCCACGTGCCCTGTCGAAGTCAAAGGTGCATGATATCCTCCCTTGATCGCCGAACTCATCGAACTTATCTCGGAAGGCTCTGGGGGAGCGGACAGCTCGCGATCGATGTAAACATCGTGTGCCGCCAGTCGAACCGACGACGGGGCCTCCCCAGGAGTATGAACCAACGGCGACGACCCGGCGCGCGCATACTTTTCCAACGCAAACGCAGGCCCGTGGTGCCTGCTTGGTCAGCTACACAGCTGCAGCCCGATAAAGTTCAGTATCGGCAGCGGCAGCAGTCCGGCGGCGGCGGCATAGAGACGGCGGAACAACAAGTTCTAACAACTGGCCGGCCCAGGGCCCCAGGCCTGGGATCTCCCTTACATGTAGATACGTGTGAATGCAAAGTTCTCAATTGTGCGATCTGTCAGCTATCTATGCTCTCTGCGATATGACATGTAACCGTTTTTAATTTACTTCTTGCTCATTCGTGCCATGGCCGCAAAGATCTGATCACCTGGCCGCACAGGAAAAACTCGAAGGCCCAGGAACCTTGTACAGTATGAGCTCGACCACAAGAAAACTTCCACAATAATCTCAACCCTGAGGCCCCAGAACGTCATTAAATTTTGGTGAGGGAACCCCACGCTTTCCACAGCAGAACTATCGAAACCCAAGAAACCCAGGGCACCCTGGAGGCAAGCAAGGCGTTTCTTGGCATGGTTCTCCACTGTAACGCTGAGAGCTCCAAACCTGGAACAGAGAACCAGCGAACCTGGCCGCCCACCGAAATAGGTCCGGAACACAGGGGCACCAAGCGGCCTCCAAAGCCCCCAAGAGGCTTTCAGGAGGCCCCCAAGAGGCCCCAAGAGGCTCCCCCGAGGCACCCAAGACGCTCCAAGAGGCCCTGGGACTGCCAAGAGGCCCCCAAGACGCCCCAACAGGACTCCAAAAAGCTTCCAGGAGATACCCGAAAGACCGAATTCGACGCCGTACATTCGCCTACTCATCCAAGATCCCCTAGGACCCCTTCGGTGCAAGCACCGATTGGGGAAAGATGCTGCTACTAGCTACTCCCTGGGCCTCCCCCTGACCAGGATTTCGAGGCGGATCCAGCCGCGGCGACGGGGGCCTTCCGGGAGGCCCAGGCAGGCGAAAGCGAGGGAAGGGCAGCGGCATCGGTGCCTTTCCTTCCTCTGCAGTTCCTGCACCCGCACACGAAGGGCACCTTGAACTTGTTCTTGTTGACGTGGTTGTGGTGGTCCGCGACCGTGAGGACCTCGCTCTCGTCGATGCAGTCGATGCCGAGCTCCTGCAGCACCTGGGCCTCCACGAAGTGGCCGATGCGGCACTTGGCCATCACTGGTATCGAGACGGCGTTGATGATCTCCTTGAGAGAGAATCGGCGGCTCGCCTACAGTCGGGGCCCTGAAGAAGGAACCCTTTTCGTTGGGGAGGGGCTCCGTGTTCCCCAAGTGTTTCGCAGCTTGCCTTGGATTTTCCTTAGGTTTTCGACACGAAATCGAAGTTCAACTTATGGACAAAAAGGGGCCTCGTTCCTTATTGAGGGTTCCTTAGGTCAACGCCCCGACTGTAGGGGGGAAGCCCCGCGGCCTTCTGAGAAGGCCCGCCCCCTCTCTCGCTTCTCCCCCCTCGGCTCGCCGCCGGTGAGAGGGGCAACTGGACAACCACCACGAACTTCTGGCGGTCCGCGCGGACTTCTTGGGTCAAGGGGCCCAGCACCGCCTCCTCCTCCTCCTCCTCCTCCTCCTCCTCCTCCCAGGATTCCGTGCAGATCTCTCGAGGGGCTGATCCCCGTGCCGTGGCTCGGCTCCTCGAGCCCCCCGACCGAGAAGGGCACGCAGGCCTGCGCGGAGGCTGCTTTGCTTATTGTGTGCGCGGCAGGTAACTTTTGCCCTCCGGGGGCTCTTTAGCCTAACTGGCGCTGCACAAGAGCATCGGGTGAAGGTCACTCGCGTGTGCGGTAACAGAAGTCCAGGCCGGGCCACGGGTCGGCGTGCAGCTGCCCGTGCTCATGAAGGGCTGCCGGGCACTGGGAAATCCGCCGACCCTGTCGGCGTGCGTGAGACGTGTTTCCGTTTGAGTCGTTGTCGTCGTCCCCGTAGCCGCCCCCTTTTCCGTTTGAGTCGTCGTCGTCGTCGTCGTCCCTGCCACTGCCTCGAGTCCTTGATCATCTTCGGGTCCGACATGCGCGCGACACCCTTCTGGGTGCGGATGTCCGCAGGGATGCGCTCGAGCGCCATCACGGCACACGCGCCGGCGGCCTCGGCAATCTTCGCCTGCTCGGGGTTCATGACGTCCATGATCACGCCGCCCTTCAGCATCGACGGCAGCCCCTTCTTGACGCGCTCGGAGCCCTCCACGACGCTGCTGGCTTTCGCGGCCATCCTGCCCGAAGTCCGCCAACAAAGGAGGCCCGCACGGGTGGGCTCGCGGGGCGAGTGCACAAGCCGCCCGAGCCAAAATTGCTATGTTGCCGGCTGGCGGCGAGACGGTCTGCGAGCTGGCCTCGGGCATCGCCTCGATCGCCCACCCCCGAGCGATCGCGGCCTTCTGGTGTTAAGTCGGGCCCGTCCCCCTACAGGGGGTTTTTGGACGAAAAATTAAAAATACCCCAAAATACAAAAGAAATATTCAAAAAATTGTAAAAAAAATCCCCAGACTATTTTTTGTCTATTTTTGAATATCCCTTCTGTCGAGGGACAGGCCCGACTGAATTCCGGTGGCGAGAAGCGCTCGACGTGGGCCGATCCTGGACCGCAGGCGGCGTTCGGCCCTGAGCGCCCGCGAGGGGGTCGCCGCCGCGCCTACGCGGCGCGACGCTGCCCTGCCCATGGACCGCTTGATACAGTCAGGGCCTTGGATAACCTCTTCCTCCTCCTCCTCCTCCTCTTCCTCCTCCTCCTCCTCTGCCTCCTCCTCCTCCTCGTCCTCGTCCTTCTCCTCGTCCTCCTCCTCCTCCTCCTCCTCCTCCTCCTCCTCCTCCCCCTTCTCTTCTTCCTCCTCCTCCTCCTCCTCCTCCTGCTCCTCCTCCTCCTCCTCGGCCCAGATCTGGCCAACATCGGGGTGGCAAAAACCTCCGCCCCCCCAGGGTCTGGAAGCCAGTGGAACACCGACTGAAGCTTGGCCATGGAGATCACCGCCGTCCTCATCAGATAAGCCATCCTCCAGGGTCTGAAGCCTCCTGAGCACACGAGTTGACCAACGCCCCCACCATAGTCCAGGTTCCGACGTCAGTGGGAAACAAGCGGCGCGTCTAACGGCAGGGGCTCTTCTGCGCCCTGGCGAGCCCCGGCCTCACGAAAAGGCCCCCCCACCCGAACATCGAGAGCACGGCCCGAGAAGCAGAGCCCGTCCCGAGCCCACAGCGGTCCTTACATCTGCGCCGTGGCTGCACTTGGCAAATGGAGACCTCCTCGTGCTCCTTCTCCTCCTCCTGCTCCTCCTCCTCCTCCTCCTCCTCCTTCTCCTCGTGCTCCTCCTCCTCCTCCTCCTCCTCCTCCTCGTCCTTCTCCTCCTCGTGCTCCTGCTCCTCCTGCTCCTCCTCCTTCGCTTCCTCCTCCTCCTCCTCGTGCTCCTCCTCCTCCTGCTCCTCCTCCTCCGCTTCCTCCTCCTCCTCCTCGTGCTCCTCGTGCTCCTCGTGCTCCTTCTCCTCCTCCTCCTCCTCCTTCCTCCTCCTCCTCCTCCTCCTCCTCCTCCTCCTACTCCTCCTGCTACTCCTGCTCCTGCTCCTCCTCCTGCTCCTCCTCCTCCTCCCTTGGCTGTGGGCGGCATTCACGACGAGCACCCTGCTGCCAGGAAGCTGGTCGGGACATCACGGCCCCGCGGATTGGAGAGATCACGTACAGTCAACCCGTATAGTAAGGATGCGCGATCAGGGTGCAAGGGCCTTGGGCGCCCACATCGGTCCTTGTCTCGGCGCCGTGGCTGCAATCAGCAAGTGGAGACCTCCTAGACAGGGCTGGGCCTTTTCGTTTCGTTTTCGTCATGTATTTCGTTTTGCTGTGCCTGTTTTTCTGCACCTCCCTGCCAAAACGAAAAACAATACACAGCGTTTAGGTCCAGCCCTGCATAGCCCTGTTTGGCAAGTGGACACCTCCTAAAGGGGGTCCGAATACAGTCGACCCATATTATAAGGATCTGCGATTAGGGTGCAATGGCCTTGGGCGCCCATCCCATTTCGAAACTTCTCGAGCGGGGCGCGGCCAACGAGTGATCCAGAATGGACCGAGGAGGCAAGGATACGAGGGTACCTTTGGGAAGGTTGCCCATCCTTAGTATGCGGGTTGACTGTAGATGGGGTCGGGGAATCGCGCCAGATCGCCGATGCATCGGCGACGCATCGGCGATGCATCGGCGAGGCATCGGCGATGCACCGGCGGCGTCGGCGATGCATCGGCGCCGTCGGCGTGTGGAAGATCGGGCTCCACATCGAGACGCATCGCCAGTGCATCGCCGATGAGGCGCGATCCTCCGACCCCATCTGCTCGGACCCCATCCAGGAGGCCTGGCGCAACGGCGGGAGGAGGAGGAGGAGGAGGAGGAGGAGGAGGAGGAGGAGGGAGGAGGAGGAGGAGGAGGAGCAGGAGGAGGAGGAGGAGGAGGGGGGCTGGAGCCGAGCGTGTCCGACTAGGCCCCCGTCCATCCAGCAGAAGGCAAACTTCTTCTCGGGCCACAGCAGGAGGCGGTCGGTCCATCCGTCCAGGCTGCCCCGGGGGCCCCTGGCGGGGAGCCAGCTCTCCTGGGGCGGCGCTCCAGCCAAGCCCTTGGGGTGCGCCTGCCCCCGGCATCCCGTGCCCATCCCTCCAGATGGATCCTCACCCTCGCCTGCCAATAAACCTCCGCCTCCTCCTCGTCGTCAATAAACCTCCGCCTTTTCCTGCTCCTCCTCCTCCTCCTCATCCTCGTGATCATCATGATCAGCGTCATCCACATCAGTATTATTAGTATGATCATTAGAATTATTATAGCCACAGATATTATGGTTACTATTCAAATTGCTACTATTAGTATGATGAGATTTGTTGTTGTCGTCGTCATCAGCATCACCCTCATCATTACCATCACCATCACCATCACCAGCACCATCACCATCACCATCGCCATCGCCAACACCACCATCATCACCGCTACTACACCAATCATCATCACCACCATCGTCATCATCATCATCATCCTCTTTATCCTCATCCTCATCCGCATCCTGCTCTTCCTCATCATTATCCTCGTCCTCATCCTCGTCATCCTCCTCATCATCATCAGCATCATCAAGCATCATCATCATCAAGCATCATCATCATCATCATCATCATCATCATCATCATCATCATCATCATCATCATCATCATCATCATCATCATCATCATCATCATCATCATCATCATCATCATCATCATCATCATGTGTTCCTCATGACCCTGCACCCGCAAAGCTCATCCTCGCCCCCTCCACATCCGCTTCCCTGTCGCCATCGAATCAATTACCATAATCATCGCCGCCACCATCATCATCTTCGTCCTCCTCCTCCTCCTCATCCTCGTCCACCTGCCCCTCCACTTCTCCTCTCACCCCCAGAGAAATTCCGAAGTCGCGCCATATGTCGCCCACGCACCCTGGGAGGCCGGGATTCGGGACAGAGACGCAAACCAGGGCCGGCGCACGGGCGACGCTCGGGCGACGCACTGAACGAAACTTACGGGGGGGGGGTGGTCGCTTCACTGGGCCTTAACACACCCCCTCCTTGATCTCCAATCTTATTAACGCTTCTCCTCCTTCCACACGCGCGCTCTCAGGAACAGCTCGCCCCGCCCCTGCTGGTTGCGGACGGAGACGTCAGCGGTTCCACTTCCAACGCTGCCCCGCGAGAGCTGATCGCATCTCTTGACGCCCGCCCGCCGCCTTTGCGCAGCACTCCCCGACCGGACTCTCGAAGGCGACTTCCGTGTGAGATCTCCCAGATGCTCGGTTCCGCACTGCGCGCGCTCGCGCGCGGCCTGCGCGACAGGCTCTACTCAAACACGTCCGCAGGCGACGCGGCCGCAGTGGGAAGCAGGGCCCGGGAGGCCACGGCCACCGGCTGCAACGGCGAAGGTGCAGGGTGGAGCAGCTGCTCGACATGTCTTGTGTGCAGCACCACAGAGGGCGCATGCTGGTAGCGTTCGCGCGCAGGGAGGGTGCTCGAAACAATTCATGATGCCAGCTCCTTTCCGCCCGGCCAGAGCGGAGCGCTCTTCATTTACCCGCGGTGGCGCTTTGGCTGCGCTGGCCTCTACCCTGGCACATGCTCAGAGCTCACGAGAATGCAGGGAATCAGTGCTTCGCTTCTTGGGAGGGGTCCTGGTAATTCAGTGCGCACTGCGGAACTCGCCAACGAACCCTGCGCCAGAACGACAGCAGACAAACCCTGTCCACCAGGGACACGGCCAGCATGCCAAGGTTTCTGGCGTTCTTGCGCCACCACACGTGAACCCGACAGCCGGGGGCTTAAAGCTAGAGCTCAAGGTCCTTGAGCCTGGGAGAGGAGAGGAGGGGGAGGCTGCGCGGCGCGGCGTGGAGGAGGGAGGAGAGGGTCGCGCGCGCGCTGCTGCTCCCCTGCAAACGAAATTTATGAAACACCCGCGGAGAGTCGGAATCGGAATGATGCCGGCAGCCATGCGCCCACGGGGGTGTCCGATACCCCAGTCGAATGGTTGCAGGCTTCCTCCCCCGACGGATCCTGCGATTCAGCCTGATCCCGCAAAGGGGACCCTATCCAAATTGCCACCAGCAACTGTCAGCTCCTGGTGGCTTCTTCCCTGAAGCAATCTCGGGGATCCCCATGAAGGAAGGACAAGAGGAGAGAAGGACAGAGCAGAGGAATCCGTGCATAATGGCCTGTGTGAAACGGTCAGCCTCACATCATCCGCTGCTCGTCGTGGCTCACGGCCTCGAGCTTCACCAATGGACATGGGCACACCAGCTGCCAGGCTCTGGCTGCCACGGCGGCGGCCAGTCACACGCACTCTGCGGGGAAGGGCCCCCGTTGTCCCCAGACTGGTCAGGGGTTTAAGAGGGCCAGGCGGGGCGCGCCAGACCCGCGGAACTTCGGAAGCCCCAGGGAATCCGCTGAACCTGCAGAAGACGGAGTGGCCTCGCAGAAGCTGTGCAGGAGGGAGACGTGCGGCACCCGAGCACTACCGACTGGGGAGGGCCCGTTCTCTGTTCTGTACGCTGTCCGCGTGGCCCGTGCGCCGCGCTGCTCGAGGACAACCTGAGCCAATGTATAAACCGCAGGGCGAAGCAGGGTGAGAGAGGTGCACAAAAAGCGGTGGCAACAGCGAACGGATACGATGAAACTCCCGGCTGCAATCCTCATCCTTATTATGTCGTTTCTCCTCCTCCTCCTCCT